CCAAGGATGACCACAGGCTGAGCAACTCCGACCAAAGGCTGCCTGGAGCCCTTAGCTCAGTCTGCACTGTCAGGGAATCAAGAGAGGTGTCTAAAAGAGAAGGGGGAGAGATAGAGTGAAGGAAGGTTCTTCAGTCCCTTCTTCTGAGTAACAAATGCTTTCTAGCCTGTAGTTATTTAATACAGAGTGTAAAAAACACACAGGTGAGCACAAAACCCCTAGGGAAATTGTCATTTTCTGAGCAACCAAGGCCCTTGTGGATCTGATTTAAGGGTGGGAGGAAGAATCAATTCTAATAATCCCACTGGGCAACTTTCCACACAGTCTCCAGAAGCCGCTCATTATTGTTAAACTCAGCACTCTACCACACAAATTGAAACGATACAGAACTGCACACTGTCTTGAGACAAAAATCTTCATTCAGCTGGAACTGACAGGARCTTTGCCTTCCACATCAGCAAAGTCACAATTTCACCCTGAACATTCATTACTGATACAAATTATTGCTTTAGAGTGTGTACATCTCCTCCTGCCCATTTGTTCCTGACTAACCMCTGGCAGAGTGGTGCTCACAAACAGCTACAACAGGCAGCAACTCCACTTCCCACTAACATTACTACTCCTCATTTTGTTACTGCTGCAAACTGAAAATCAGGATGTGCAGGAGATCATCTGCATCTCAGGGTTCAGTATAATCTGCAATTGCACATCTTCTGGTTTCTGCATGCAATGGTGCAAACAAGCCAAGCATACCAAGGCCAGTCCCACATGGAAAATAGGGAGGGAATATTCACTATGTCAGACCTCACTGTTTAAACTAAATGAACCACAAAATTCCTATTTTCCCTTTTGTTAAGATGCCCTAAGAAAGGAATAGAAGCAGATCAAATTTGATTCTAAACTTCAAGGTTTTGTAACAATGAGCTTGCTGACCTGTGCTTTATTGGTCAGTTGCTGATCTCATCTTACACAATTATCCASAGAGAACATGGTTAAAGCTCAGCTCCCACCACATTGCTTTGATAACAAGGCTTAGGGTTGGAGCAGACCTGCTTTTTCACYTGCACCTTAATAACCTTTTTGTTTTTATATAATTTTAGTAAGTCAAAAACTAATTAGAAACGGGGTGGGTATTATTTACACATATGACTTTCTGGAATCTGCCCTTTATTCTGTTGCTAGTGTTTGGGCAGGAAATGAAGACAAGAGTAGAGTTTTTGAATGATGTGATGTTATAGAAAGTGCATTAACTGCAGACATGCAGYRGATACAGAAGCATCCTCTCCTCCTYYACYWWC